ATGTGAGCCTCATTTCAGCACATCATGAGAACAGTGAACACGAAACTGAAAATGCACAAACACAAAATGCAATTACAAATGAAAACTAAACACACAAAATGCAAGGACGAATACGCACAGAACACACACAAAATGCGCACACACAAAATGCAAAATGAAAAGACATTTCTTACGCCACAAACTACCTTCAGAACAAAACTCCCCATTTTCTTATACTGTCGTCGAATAGGTGGTAGGTTGATATGTAAATTAAGTATTTGCACCCAACAAACTCAAGACCCTCATTTCCTATTACGATATTCATATTCATCTATGAATCAACCATTTATCAAATCTGAGACTTGTATTTTTATTGCCCATGTGCAAATTCGCGTTTCTGTAATGTGTGTCTGAAACCCCTGACGGAAACAGTCACACGGAAGACCTGACGAAGTGCTACTCCGTTTCCGTCTGGCGAGCTGGCCTGTGTTCCAAAATCTAGGGCGCGACAAACTAGCCTAGCAGATTTCGGAATAGTGTGGCAGCCGAGCCACCCAGAGTGGGGATTCGATTTGGCAGAAGGGACAATAGTTGGCATGGAAACTTGTGACACGTGGGTGAATGTGGGGAAGAGTTATGTGTTGTTTCTATGATTCCCCTGTCTGAGGCACGGAGGGGCGGAAAGTGCCCGCTGCTGGCACTGTAGCTCCATAGAAAGCGCGAGGTCCCTAGTAATACCCCCGCCAAAGCCACTTACCCTTTCCGCAATCAACGCGGTGACCTAAAGTTCTCACCGCAATCAACGGGTCGACAAAGGGTAAGTATGGCTACATATTCAACCATCTTATCCCTCCATCCTCCACACAAACAAACTTCAGTAAAATCTACAGCAAGGGGGAGTGTTGGAAATAGAAACATTAGATTCTACTGTAGTCTTCTTTATAAGGCTCCAGGTTCTACAATAATTGTACAATTATTGTAGGGGCTGCATTATTGCAGTTTAGAGGTTTGGGGGTATAATTATTGGTACTCCTTTATTGGAGTTACCATTATTGGTGGTACAATTGTTGGTGTGGATCAAGGACGTTGCTAGATATAAACCCCATCTGAGAATCAGACCTGAAAAAATTCCTTCGTCTGAGCATCAGATGAATTTTTACAGCTAGTCTACAAATTCAGACGAATTTGTTTCCCAAGTCTGTAAATCCAGATTATTACTTCTAAACATTATTGTGCACTCCTCACCGCAGCAAGCGAAGCATGATAGTGAGACGGTGGTGTCAGAACATTGTAGCTCATGCTGTTGTGTAGGCTATAGTGGGGTATCCCATAGGGGGTACACCTAATTAGGGTTTCATATTTGTACTCACTTCATTTTCATAGTTCATTCATTCTCGTTCTCATTTTCTCAGGTGGTGACGAAAGGGCGGTAGTGACACGAAGAGTCGCACGGTTACGAAAGCATATGGACCGTCTGTCGAAGTGAAAGGCCCTGCCCTCGCTTGGGCGCAGGCATTCTCTGCGACGACGCGGTGAATTCGACGAAGTGATCGTCGCATTGGATCAGCAAGTCCTCTGAAACCGCAGGTGGTTTTCGAAGAGGTTGTCCTCTGATTCACCAGCCCATCAATGAGCTCTGGTCGACGGGGTGCTGTCCGACGAGCTCGTCTTCTGATCTGCTTCTGGGTCGCGCGATCTCTGACGGACGGGGTGCTTTTTGAGGAGCCCTGTTCTCTGATCGAAGGGCGCTGTTCGGCAAGTCTCATCTTGGCAAACTGGCTGGCCGAATTCGCGCGACTACGAAACTCTGCAGGGGCATGCGAAATTCGCTCAGGTGGCTCTTAGCAAAATTCGACCTGCGAAATGGCATCACGTGCTCGACGGTGGATACCTGACGAAACCGTCGGAGCGTTTTCTACCTGGCACCTGCGCAATGTCTCTGACGGTGCAACCGTCTACCTGCACCTACTCGGCAGGTGCACACCTGCGCAGATATTCACCTGCGAATGCAGCGCTGGTAGGCCGCCCTATTGCAGCGCTGGCATGGCGCCCTTTTGCTACGCTGGCAGGCCGCCTTGTTTCAACGTTGGTGAACCGCTCTGATGCAGTGCTTCGCCTTGCAGAATTCTTGCTAGGGATTGCAATGCCATTCCAGTGATATCACTTGCATGCTCTTCTTTGTACTTTAATTCTCAATTTTCAATGTTTTTTCAATTTCCTTAGTGGAAACTCTTGCCAAATTTCTTAGTGAACACAGCACGTAGTAAGAACTCTGTTAGAACACTACTAGAGCGCTGCGATCACCCACACAACCCCGTGCCCTCCTTCGTAGTCCACTCCCGTTGTAGGGTGAATCTCCGCACCGTCGGGTAGACCGCATCAGGCAGCAGCAGTGGTGAAGATCCTGCTCGTACAGTTTCGTAACTACCTAGAGTCGCACGGTCGGAATTCGCTGCAATAAGGGAATGTACCCCTTCGAGTACATGGCTAGCTAGGTCGATTGGTATTCCCCTGTATTCTTACTTATAGTGCTGTATTTGCATGTTCTTATCATCTCAAGCATTTACATTCACTCTGCTATTGTGGTCAAGGGCCCACCATCACTAGTTAAGTTCTGTGCGAACCTTCCTGAGGTGATCATAAGTTCGATCAACATCTGATCGCGGCATGGTATCAGAGTGACTCGGGAATGTTAAGGAATAAGGACGGAGTCTAGGAAGATTAGGAGCCGAAATATCACAAAAATCGTTGGCTTAGAATTCTGGACAGAAAAGTCGCGCTCACAAGAAACGCCGTCGACAAAAAACGCACCGTCAAAGCTTCACCAATTCTGGATATGTTGTAGCTCTAGAGTGTAGCTACAATTGCCAATTTGAATCGTATCAAAAGATGAAGTATTTCTCAACTTATAAGTTTCAGCGCACTAGAGGGTATGCTGCCTCAACCACAATTGACTCACAAGTTCCACACAAGAAAGTTAGAGTGACTAGAAACAAGGTAGAAGGGGAAGAGGAGGACGAAAGGGAAGGTCCCAAGAGAGTCCCCAACCAAGGAAAACCCCATGCCACACTATTTCCCTCCCAATAGGCACCCCAACTTTGACCTTTGTCACTTTCCCAACCTCCACAATCCACCTCACCCAAGTTGGCCACACTTACCAACCTGGTTTGGCTTCTCCCAATTACTTGGCAACATCTACATTGATGTTGACGAATTTCCCAACCCCCAAAATTCTATACCTCTTATGGAGTCAACCCCACATCTTCCCATAGTCGCCACAACCAAATATCAAAAGCATACGAACTTCTAACATTCGTAACTTTCTTGTTCGTGCTCCGATTGAAGCGATACTTGGTTTATCGGAAAGGTCATGAACAGAGGAGTTACTTCAGATATCTGCTCAAGCCAAATGACACACATACACACACACACATACACATACACACACACACACACACACAAACATACACACACACACACACACACACAGAGAGAAAGACCAAACCACACTGAACACAAATTCTTGCACGCTCACACCACGCATGCAACACACGAACATATGATGGGAGGCAGACAGACGTGAATGCAAGTGATAGCATCACATAGCAAACTCCCCCTCTGGCTGCCTACCATCATCCCACATGCCATAGCTCAATCATGCACCCTCAATGCACACTCAGCCCAGCAAGCTTCATGCCCTTCAAATGCTCAGATTCAGCCAGGCGCTTGGCGAGAATGTCAGCCGCCTGCTGATGTGTCTTCACAATCTCCAGCCGCACCTCCTTGTTCAGGAGCCTCCTCACCCAGTGCCACTTGGGCCTGATGTGCTTTGTCAGCCCATGGAGGCAAGCGTTCTTGGCAAGCTTCATTGCCGACTCATTGTCATAGAACATCACAGTCGGCTCCTTCTGGCACACTCCGATCTCCTCCAATAAACGCCTCAGCCACACTACCTCCTTAGCCCCATGATGCAGGGCCATGTACTCTATCTCACATGAGGACTGCCCCACCTCATTCTGCTTCTTGCAGCGCCAGCTCACTGCACCACCTCCAAGCAGGCACACATAGCCTCGAATGCTGGTGCCATCCGCCTTCACAGAGTTAAAGCTAGCGTCGGTATAGCAAGTCAAGAGCATCTCCCCCTTGCACAAATCAGCAGCACCCCGCTGCTGCTTTTGCCTCACAGCACTGTACTCCAAACCCACTGATACTGTAGCACTCACATAGCGGACCAACATCTTGGCCGCTTCCACCTGCTCATGACTGGGGTGTGAAACCACACTGACAAGCCTGGATGTGGCAAAGGCAATGTCAGGCCGCGTGTGGTTAGCCGCATAGTTGAGTGCCCCCAACATGGAATGAAACAGCTTCTTGTCACTCTCACCCACCACCTCCTCATCAGCACAGGGCTCCACAGTGAGCCCCGAAGGCAGTGGGGATGCTGGCTTTCCTCCATATTGCAGCCCATACTTCTCAGCCAAACCCTCACAATACTTCCTCTGGTGCAACCTCAGCACTCCTTTGTGAAGGTCCCTCTCCAAATGCATCCCAAGGTAATACTTCACATCTCCCATCTTGGAGCACTTAAACTGCATCTCCAGCATCTCCTCCACATGCTCAATCATTGCAGACGACTCGGAGAAGAGCAGGATGTCATCCACATACACCAGGAGCATGAGAAACTGCTCCTTCTCTTGCAGCAGGAATAGGCTGTGGTCGCACTCACTCTTCTTGAACCCCCCAGCCAGCAGTGTCTCCTCCAGCTTGTGGTACCATGCACGAGGAGCTTGCTTCAAGCCATAGATGGCCTTCTTCAGCCGGCACACCCTGCCGCTCCCATCATCCAGCCCCTCAGGCTGTAATATGTACAGCTCCTCCAGAATGATCCCATTGAGGAAGGCGGTGTTAATGTCCATCTGCTTCACCCGCCATCCCCGGTTTGCTGCCACTGCCAAGGACACCCGCAGTGTTGTGCCTTTCCTCACAGGGGCAAAGATCTCGTCAAATTCCTTCCCCTTTGTCTACTGAAACCCCTTAGCCACAAGCCTTGACTTGTAGCGGGTCAGCGCCCCATCAGGTCCGTACTTGTGCTTGAAGATCAGCTTCGAAGATATTGCCTTCTTCCCAGGAGGCAGCTCACACAACTCCCAAGTCTCATTCTCCAGCAGAGAGTCATACTCCTCCTTCACACTCTGCTTCCACTTCCCAGCATCGGGCCCACTCAATGCCTCGGCTAGTGTCTTGGGCTCAGGGACGGCTGCCCAGTAGCAGTGTGCTATCTCATCATCATCACACTGCTCAGCAACACTCCCAGCCCGTACCACGTTTGGCTTGCCAAAGCTCGAATAGGTCAGCCGGTTAGGAGAGCGCACATCCCTCCTAGGACGGTCAGCCGGACGTGTGGCACCTTGTGGAGCGCCTTGCTGCTGCTGCTGTTGCTGCGGCTGTTGCTGCTGCTCCTCCACCTCAGGTTCTCCCCCATCCTCAGTCACCCCAGAGATCTCATTCTCAGAGACGGAAAACTCCACTTGCCTCGAAGGCCCCTGCACCTCATCGGCCTCGACAATCAGCGGTGTCGTAGGAAGCTTCTGCTGCTGCTGCTTCCACTCCTTGTAGTATAAGGACTCGAGGAACTTCACATCCCTCGATACAGTCAGCTGCTGGCTAGTCAAGTCCCATATCAACCAGCCCTTGTGATCCTTAGCAAGTCCCAAGTGCACACCCCATCTCCCAGAAGCTTCCAGCTTTTCCCTCTTCTCCTTAGGCACATGAAACACCACCATGCAGCCGTAGGCTCTCAGCTTGTTGACTGCTGGTGCACACCCATACCACTTGGTGTAGGGGACCCACTGCTTGTCCCCCACAGTCGCCAGCACCCTGTTCTTCACAAGGGCGACCTGCCGCAGTGCAGTCACCCAAAACGGATCCGGCAGCCCTGCACGCCCAAGGAGAGTGCGAGCACCTTCCTGCAGGGTCCGGTTGAACCGCTCAGCCACGCCGTTCTGCTGAGGGTTGTAGGGCACCGTGAGCTGATGCTGGATCCCCTTCTTCTTCAGCACCGCCTCAAAATCAGCGCCAATGAATTCTCCCCCGTTGTCGGTGCGGATCACCTTCACCTTGTGTCCGCTCTCCCTTTGAGCTCTCGGCATCCACTCCTTAAGAACAGCCGCTGCCACCCCCCCCCTTGGTCTTCAGAGGGTACACCTACACCGCACGCGTGTGGTCGTCCATAATGGTCAAGAAGTAGCGGCTGCCCGAGAGAGAAGGGGCCTTCGTGGGGCCCACCACGTCCATGTGCACAAGTGCAAGTGGAGCCTTCGCTGGTCCCGTGCTGCTGCTGAAGGGAAATTTCGTGAACTTGGTCTCAAGGCATGTAGGGCAGCTCCCAATCTCCTTCGCTGCCCCCTTCACTTCCAACCCCTTCAAGCTCCCATCCTTAACCAACTTCTGCAGCATAGGAAAGTTCACATGACACAGCCTCTCGTGCCACGTCTCCCAATCGGCCTCACCACTCCCAGATGAAGCCTTTGCCAATGCAGTTGTCACATCCTCACCAGCAAGCACCTCATCATGTGACTGCTGTGGTTGCTGCACCTTCTTGACTGAATCCACGGCCCCAGCAGTTGGTGCAGTCTCCTCTCCTTCCGCAGTTGCTTTAGCCACTGCCGCTGCCGTTGCCGTTGCTGGAGGTTTCCCATTCCAAGGGATGATGGGCAGCTGCAACAGGTCCTTGATGCAGCTGTTCTTCTCCTCCAGATCCCACAACAACAGCTTCCCAAGCTTTGCACAGCAGCTGGTTGGGCCGAAGGTCACTTTGGCCTTGCTCTTCTGCAGCCGGCGCACAAAAAGAAGGTTAGCGGACAGACCTTCAACCAACAACACATTCCCCAGCCCCACAAGCCCCCCATTGGCTCCCATTTCCTTGGCATTCCCAACGCCAATCACAGGGAGCAAAGCACCTGAAGCGGCAGCCACAAACTTTATTTTCCCAGGGGGTTTTACCTCGTCAAGCAAATCTGCCCGTGGGGTCATGTGACTTGTACAACCTGAATCAATCACCCAGTGAGTGAGGCGGTGCATCACAACCTTCCCAACTAAACCCACATCACCCCCACTCCCTTGCACATCCTCAACCATGAGGAACATCCCAGGGTCGGCTTTACCTTGTGCACCATCACCTTGTGCACCTGAACCTTGCACAGCGCCACCTCGTGCGCGTTCACCACTTGGCGGCTTCATGCCTGGAGGCGCCCATCCCTCAGGGCGGCTGAAACATTTAAACCACGGATATCCAACCTTCTTGCAATACCAGCAGGCACCCTCCATTTGAGTGCTCCCCCTGCCACCAGAGATCCCATGCCCCTCGTTTTAGTTACCTCGGCCTCTCCTTCTGCCAAAGCCTCTCCCACAGCCTCGGCCTCTCCCTCCCCCTCTTCCTCTGCTGCCTCTTGCAACTGCATACCCCTCAGCAGTTTTGTTGGCAGCACCACCTCCCGTATGGCGCCTACGGAAGTCCTCCTGCAGGATCTGCTACCGTAGCCACTCAGGCGTCCACTTGTCCTGCTGAATGTTGAGGGTGGGGATGAGGTTGTCCCACGAGTTGCCGAGCACCGAGATGATCTTGGTGCATTGCTGCATCTGCGACACCTCGCTGCCGGCCGCTGCCATCCTCGCATATGTGTCCTTGATCTTGTCAAGGACCGGCTTCACATCATCTCCCGATCGCATGGAGATGGCCGCCAGCTCCTTCTCGAGCACGATCACCATGGGCAGCGTGTTGGGCTGAATCACGTCGCGCAGTAGCTTCCACACCTTTGGATCGGAGTCGTCCAGCTCAACCAAGTCCTTGATGTGCTGGAACATGTTGTTGTTGACCGATTGCAAGATGAGATCGAACAACACCGCGCTCCGCTCAATCCACCAATCCCGAGCATCTCCTTCCCCAGGCATCTTCTCTTCTCCCATCGCAAGTTTCAGCAGCTCGTAGCACTTGAAAACGCTCCTCATCCCCCCCCTCCATTCCTCGTAGTTGGAGCCATCCAACGCCTCAATCTTGGATGGTGGCGGCTCACTCCTCTTCTCAGCTGCTTCTCCACTCCCTTGACTCATTTCTTCGCTCCCAATTACAGGTTTCAGCTCCCCCTTTTGCTGTCCACACCGAATTCCCACAATATTTTCACAAGTGTCGGCGCCAACGAGATTTCGGTAGAGTTTCCCCTTAGCGGAAGTCACATCCAACCTCTAGAACTCCACTTAGGCACGCCCACAGGCCATGGTGGGTCTAGGAGGGTCTTCACACTTCAGTAGAGTCTCCACAAAGTCCTTAATCAGCTCTGATACCACTTGTTAAAGACTAAGGACGGAGTCTAGGAAGATTAGGAGCCGAAATATCACAAAAATCGTTGGCTTAGAATTCTGGACAGAAATGTCGCGCTCACAAGAAACGCCGTCCACGAAAAACGCACTGTCACAACTTCACCAATTTAGGATATGTTGTAGCTCTAGAGCGTAGCTACAATTTCTTAATTTGAATCGTATCAAAAGATGAAGTATTTCTCGACTTATCAGTTTCGGCGCACTAGGGGTATGCTGCCATAGAAACTTAACTCAACCACAATTGACTCACAAGTTCCACACAAGAAAGTTAGAGTGACTAGAAACAAGGTAGAAGGGGAAGAGGAGGACGAGAGGGAAGGTCCCAAGAGAGTCCCCAACCGAGGAAAACCCCATGCCACACAATTTCCCTCCCAATAGGCACCCCAACTTTGACCTTTGTCACTTTCCCAACCTCCACAATCCACCTCATCCAAGTTGGCCAAACTTGCCAACCTGTTTTGGCTTCTCCCAACTACATGGCAGCATCTATAGTGATTTTGACGAATTTCCCAACCCCCAAAAGTCTATACCCCTTATGGAGTCAACCCCACATCTTCCCATAGTCACCACAACCAAATATAAAAAACATACGAACTTCTAACATTCGTAACTTTCCTGTTCGTGCTCCGATTGAAGCGATACTTGGTTTGTCGGAAAGGTCATGAGCAGAGGAGTTACTTCAGATATCTGCTCAAGCCAAATAACACACACACACACAAACACTCCGAAAAACCAAACCACACCGAACACAAATTCTTGCACGCTCACACCACGCATGCAACACACGAACATATGATGGGAGGCAGACAGACGTGAATGCAAGTGATAGCATCACATAACAAGGAATCCTTCGCACTGCCACCTCTGAAAACTTCGGCGAACGAAAAGTGGCGTCCGGCATACGCTCGCATGTGAGAATGGCCGGAGGATTTGGTGGTCAGACAAATCTGACGGCTGAAGCGCAGCCCAACCCAGCTGCGACAAGCAAGAAAATGACGACGATTGATTCCGCCGCAACTGCTTCAGCGACTCACCATCTTGGAGCAAGGGCTCCAAACATTGCGGAGTGGCGACGCGGGAACACATCTTCCCAAGCTTCTCAACCGGCCTTGAATGGCCAAAATTCCGCCCCGCACACTTTCTCCCTTACCACAAATGGCTCAACACCCGAGACTCTCCGTCCCAGCGAAGAAGCGATTCTCTCTGCGCAGTCAAGAGTTTTGAGCATATAAAAAATAAAGACAAGTGTCTGTTTTGACGGCAAAGACTTCTTTACTTGGAGCTTTGAGTTGGAGCTGCTGCACAGATTTTCCATTATTTCGACGGAAGCTACTCGGGACCCACTGAAGACACCGACAACGCCAAGGGAAAGTACTACAACGAGTCCTTGATGGCGTACGGCGTCAGACCGCGCAACATGTTGCCGGCGGAACAGCTGAACATTCGATCATACAAAACCACGGCTCCTCCTGCCCTCGACGCTTGGCGCCACCTAAACGGAGTCTACCAACCGAAGGACTCGGTTTCTTCGAGCCGCTTGCTCCAACAGCTACTGGAGACAAAAATGGCCACCGAGGAGAAGGTCAACAGCTACATCAATCGCTGTCGGAGCCTCCACGATCAAATTGCGAAACTCGGAAGCAACATTTCCGAAGAAATCTTCGTTAACATCGTGCTTCAAGGGCTCGGCCCAGAGTGGTGGCCCTGCAAGGCGCTTCTCCGACGGCAGGGGGTCATCTCGGCGGCCGCCCTATGCGCCGCCCTCCTTGTCGAATAACGAGATATGGACCAGCAGCGACCAGCGCTGCGACGAGACAGGGAATGCCTTGCCTTCTACGCCGACAATACTGAAGAGCGACGGCCGCGGCGCCTCTACTACAAAAACTGCAGAAACTTTGAGCACTTAGCAGATCTATGCAAATTCTGATCTCGCCTTCGCCAGACGAACACGAGCACTTGGTCCGGCCGACAAGGCGCAAGGAACGACACGCGTCTCGCCCAGGGGTATCAACCCCCATCGCACAGCCTGAACCCAACATTTCAGCACCAGCAGTAGCAGCCGTCACAGACTGCTCCCGTCCGCAATGTCATGGGAAACATGACAATGACAAGCGGATCGCGTCGTCCTCGCGCTCGCTCACCGTCACCTGAGCCAGCACCTCACCCAATCGGAGCGTTCTTGAACAACAACTCATTCAGCACGCATCACGACTTCAGTGACGACGACAAACAAGACTGGAACCTACTAGTCCCGCTGCTTGAAAGCCCCCCGCACGTCCCGGATATGCGGCCGGCACCGATCAATTGGATCGCGCACGAACAATTCCTCAAGGTTGACACACCACATATCATTACCCCGCGACTGGCGCTGCTTGCACGTAACGACAACAGGTCCTACACCTGTCAAAACATATATGCTTATGCTGTTTAGGCTATATGGGTGTTAGCACTAGGGGGTACAGAATTTCACTTGATGTTGTTCTTGTACCCCTCCCCTTGACCTAATGACCATCCTATTCTTCTTGACATGGTATAGAGCGGGTCCTTCCTAAGGACCATTTTTTTTAGAGGGCTCACCGTTTAGCTTTTTTCCTGCCCGAAATCTGCCCGTTTAGCCCGCGAACCGCCCGAGCATAGACCGTGCATCCCGCGCCCGGCTCGTTTAGCCCGCGGACCGCTCGAGCGTGGACCGTATAGCCCGCGCCAGGCCCGTTTAGCCCGCGAACCGCCCGCGCGTAGCCCGTACAGCCCGCGCGCCGCCCTCGCGCAGCCCATACAGCCCCCGCACCGCCCGCGTACACCCCGTACAGCCCGCGCACGACTAGCACGCAGCCCGTACGGCCCGCGCCAGGCCCGCGCGCAGCTAGTACAGCCCGCGCTAGGCCCGCACGCAGTCCGTACAGCCCGCGCCAGGCCTGTGCGCACCTGCCCTACCGCCCGTGCACTTGCACTGGTCCTACACCTCGCCGGCCCGCTGTCCCTACTGCCCTACTGCTGCAACTGCACTACTGTCATTGCCCTGCACAGTGTAGTGCCAGCAAGCGCGACTGCCCTGCCCTGCCTGCACGTGTAAGCACTAGCCGCGCCGCCCTGCCCTACTGAGCGGTGCCCTGCACTGCCCTGCTAGCCTGCACTGCCTTGCACTGCCCTGCACTGCTGGCCCGCACAACTGACCTGCACTGCCCTGCACTGCTGGCCCGTGCCGCCCTGCCCTACTGAGCGCCGCCCTGCACTGCCCTGCTGGCCTGCACTGCCCTGCTGGTCCCTGCACTGCTGGCCTGCACTACTGGCCTGCACTGCCCTGCACTGCTGGCCCGTGCCGCCCTGCCCTACTGAGCGCCGCCCTGCACTGCCCTGCTGGCCTGCACTGCCCTGCTGGTCACTGCCCTGCGGGCCGCCCTGCACTGCACTGCCCTGCTGGCCGTGCCGCCCTGCCCTTGCTGGCCGCACCGCCTTGCCTGAGCGCCGCTAACAGCCGCGCCACCCTGCCCTACTGACTGCCGCCCTGCCCTGCTCCGCGCTACTGCTCTGAGAGTTGCCCTGCTGGCCACCGCCCTGCTTTGCCCTGCCTGCATGCTGCTCTGCTACTAGCGCGCCCGACCGCTCTGTGTCCTCACATTCGATACGGAGGGCCGCCCGATAGAGTTCGATGCGCGGCTCGACGACCTACAGCTGTTCTTACTGAGCGATTCCAAGAACGGAGTCTCACTGTTTGACCTCACGTCTGGCGCCTCTCTCGCCCCTGCTGCCACAGCCGACAGTACGACTCGCTCACAGTGGCTTACTCATGACGCTGCTGCTCGCTTAGCCGTTTGCAACCACCTGCCGTTAGCCGAACGCGCTCACTTCGGACAGCATAAGACTGCGAAAGCACTGTACGATGCTGTAGTCTCTCGTTACTCCTCCCCGGCCACTGCTGCTCTAGGCCGCCTTCTCCTGCCCTACCTATTCCCAGAGCTGTCCGCCTTTGCCACAGTAGCCGACCTCGTCACTCACCTTTGTACTAGTGATACTCGCTACCGCGCTGCGCTTCCCGTCGAGTTTCTCACCAAGAACCCTCATCCCATGTACATCACTCTCTACTTCATAGTCACCCGCCTCCTTGAATCTCATAGCACTGTCAGAGACCTCCTTCTAGCCGTTGACCCCACCACCCTCACTGTCGACCTGCTCGAGAAGCACCTCCTTGCAGCTGAGACTAGCATAGTCGCTGTAGGCGCTTCTCGTGCCACTCCTCGCACCCCCTTGTTTGAGGGGTGTTCGCCCTCCCCCCTTCTCCCCTCAATCGCCTCTGCTGCAGCTGCTGACTACCTTCGTGTTGAGGAGGTAGGAGCTGCGTCTGCCCCTAGTGGGAGGCGCCGCAGCGACAGGGGCTGGGGAGGCAGGGGCGATGGGGGTGGCAGAGGTGGAGGTGGTGGTGTGGGCGGTGGAGGCGGTGGAGGGGGCGGCTGTGGCGGAGGGAGTGGTGGTGGGGGTGGAGGTGTAGGTGGCGGCAGTGGTGGCGGCAGTGGCGGTAGTGGCGGCGGCAGTGGTGGTGGCAGTGGGAGTGGAGGCGGTGGCAGTGGTGGCGGCCAGGGTGGTACGAGTCAGAGGGGAGGCCTGGGCGGGGGTCAGAGGCAGCAGCAGCGTCAACTTTCGACCCAGGAGCTACGTGAGTGGTTTGCTCAGCGTGGGGCGGCTGGGGGTAGTGGTCCCTGCCCGTATGTCATTCGCACAGGTGACCGCACTAACCA